TAAGCCAAATGTCTATGCAATGCATCTTTTTCCTTACTTAGAAATCCAACTGCCCTATCCTTTAGCTTCAGTAGCTGATTTTTTTCTTGGCCTACTTAACTCGCTTCAGTAGCAGCTTCATATATTATAATAGATAATTGGCCTCATTCATTTAAAAATTGAGTAGGGGAAGGCAACATTGGCCTATAGCAACCAACCAAGCAAATATTATCAACATGCAAGAGGCATGTGAACCTTGGTGTCCTTTGTGTATTTCTTCCAGATCTGTTCAGCAATCCAGTGTGAAACCTTTGCTCTGTGCAGGAGCTTCCTGTAATAAAGACCGGTCACTGCTGATCTCTCGCCTTGTGCCTGGTCTTGTTTCTGCCCTCTCCTGTGTAGTTTTTTTGCAGGAAGACTGTAGTGTGTGGCCCTGCTTGGTCCCTCCCACAGCTCTGCTCTCAGGCTATGTGCAGCACAGTGATTATGACACTGCTACTTTATAACATTATATCTGGGTTTGCAAAGGCAGTAGGTGCACACAGCGTGGATGTATACCCTTCATGGATATTAAGGTAAATAATTAACTGATTAACTTGCTCCCCACCAGAGGCGGCTCTAGAGTTTGCGAGGCCTTAGGCGAAACCTAAACATGAGGCCCCACTCAGGCCTGTGGGGTCTCACCGGGCTGTCGGGTTTAACCAGGATGGTGAGACCCCACAGAGCCCTGGTGAGACCCTACAGAGCCCTGGTTAAACCAGGGCTCTGTAGGGTCTCACCAGGGCTCTGTGGAATTAAAGAGCCGCCTCTGCTCCCCAACCCTTCTCCCATACACATCTCCCTACCCAGCTCTTAGCAACCAGGGGTGCTCTGGCCAATGTCCCGCCCAGCTGGGCGGGATGCCAAGGATGCAATTTGTTGGGCCCTCTCATGAGGGCCCATTCCCAATATCCCTGTCAGAGACCTGCTGCTTCCGCGCATGCGCCAAGTCCGGGCGCCATGGATTGGGCGCGGAAAAACGCACAAAATGGCGCACAGGAAGTGACACTCTCCAGATATTTTCTTCACTATTTAAACTCAGACTCCACACCAACTCATTGCTGGATTGTCTCTTCAACCGCCATTGACGTCTCCTGTTCCTTGTTACCAGTACCTTTGATGATTGGTTGCAGGGCAAAAAGAGGCGGCAGGCGTTCCTGAAGGCCCGGAACTTGTGGTGATCTCCTGCAAAGCGTTCGGGCGTACGAACACGGGGTTCAAGCACTGGCAGTGCAGGAGTCGGTTCTGTTTGGACTTCTGCTGGGGGTACGGGGTCCAGGTTAGAGGCATTGGCCATAGCCGTCACTCGCCCCTCCAGCTGAAATAGCTGTTCTGTATCTCATTCAGGGCCCGAGTCACAGAGGCCACCTGTTGGCACAGGGACTCTAGGGTGGAAACACTCCCCTCAGTCTCCGTCATGGCTGGATTGTACTATCACGTATCTGTATGGAGACTGGATGTGAGAGGAGGCTTCCCTTGCACCTCGTGTCCTAGGGACTCTGGTATTGGGGACAGAGTCCTTATAGACAACGAGTGGCAGGAGTGCCAGAGGTGGTATCACCGTGCAAGCCAATATCTGGTTCTGCAGCAGGGTTGTTGACAGTTGTTCTAACCTGTTTCCACGCTATCCAAATCTAAAAAAAAAAGTGTTGCCTTTAGTTGTATTTTAACACCTAAGTCCCCTTAACCTCAACACCTAATCTGACCCCTATAGTTATCCTAAAACATAAAGCCAATCTCTGAAAAAAATCTCCCCTTGCAGTGGGGCCAATATGCAAGGGTTAACTTCTCATTTAGGTCTAGAGTACCTATGTAAAGGACTTTCACTTACCTGATGCCCACTCCCCCCCTCCCCAGCAGTTGGCACTCGCCTCTCTCCCCTCTTGTGGACTGTCCCTAACCATCCTCACTTAATGGAGGACTATGGGCCCTACATTGTACGTGATGACATCAGTGGGCCTCTGACCACCGGAGTGTAGGGGGAAAAAGGCTGTGGGCGCCAGTCTTGGAGTGTGTGGGAGTGGGGATCAGGTAAGTAAAAGTACTTTACATAGGTGCGCTAGACCTAAATGAGCAAGGTTAACTAACCTTTGCAGTAAGGGTCAGCCTTTAAACTAAGAGGGAGGCTTCATACTAACCCCTAAACTAAACTTTAACAGTAATCTGTATTCTACTGCTTATTCACCTGATCTTCTGTTGGTCCCACACCGAAAGCATACAGTGCCAACATGCCAGTGCCGGAACAGCTTGATCTGATGGAACATCACCAACAGTCTTTGCTTACAATTTAGACCCAGTTGATGGCTAGGAACTATAAGTGCTAAGATAGGGCCCATTCACACCAAGGCAGCATTGTTTTTGCGCGTCTGTACGCGCGGTTTCAGAGTGCGGTCTTTTGCACGTGTATGCGTGAAAAAGCATGCACTTAAAAAATGTGCGTTTTGACTGGCAGGTCAAGAAACATGGTCAATAGACGAACACAAAATGTGCAGGCAAATATGCAAAATGCTTCTGCCGCGTGTTTCTTGGCGTTTCCATTGAAGTCTAGGGGGGAAAAATGAGTTTGAAACTGCCAAAAGAAGCTTATGTACTTTCTCCTGCGTTTGGCGTTTTGATGCTCAGGTGTGAACAGGGACCATTAAAAATTAATGGGGTTTCTTGCGTTGGGTGCTTAAAAACACCTAGGTGTGAACCACAGATTTGTAGCTTTTACAGTATGCTATTTATGCAATTTATTGTACAGAGCAAGTCAAATCTGCTGTGCTTTACATACTATACAGTGCTATTTCCATCTGTCCATTTACATGTAATTTCCCTAAAACAAACACGCACTCACACACATACATACACTAGAGTTAATGGGGATTGAAGTTAGCTTATCAGTATGGTCAGGAAAATCAGAGCACTATGCTACCCATATAATATGAAATAAGAGCAAGGTGACTGGTGGATTAAACCCTCATTCTTGTGTCAGTAGGAACTACAGCACCAAATAACTCTTTTCCTAATAGTAATATGCCCATCAGCACTACCGCCAACCTACCATAAAGCTATACAGAGTCACATTGAATCCATGTTGTGACCCATTTCTGAGATGTATAGTAAAGGTTACTAGCGACTCAGTCCAGTGAGACTGAATTATTAATAATCACCTTAAGCTATCATTAACCTCCTTTCTTATGAAGGTTCATTTGATAGCCAATTGATAACCAAAAGCAAAATCCTTTTAATGAAGGGCATTTTAATAATAAATTGTACCTGAAAACTATACTATAGTTCTGTTTGTAAACAGCATTTAAAAGGCTTTTGTAATTATTGTGGGAGCTATTCAAACAAGAACAGCAGAAGTACAAATGCTGTCCATGTTGAAACATTTTAGAAAGCGGAAGATAAGGTAGCTTAGTGCCATCTTGTGGATGAGTCAAATCAATGCACCAGCAATCTTCCTTGCACAATACACCATCATATAACCCCTAATTCAAAGATTATTAGATTATAAAAGATTAAAGGTCATTAAAAACATGCTCCTAATTTTGACCATCATTTTGGATTTTTCTATTATAACCCAACCCATCTTGCGGTGTCTCTATTATCTTATCCCACACTGCCCAACTTTCTGAGATGAGAAAAGGGACACCTTCCAGTACAATTTATGTAGGCAGTGGACAAACCCCAGCCATGTCCCCAGTTATACGGACCATTAAGAATTTATATCCCATAAATGAATGGTTAAATCCACAATGGTTTTTTTCACCATTACTCTATCTTTAAATTGGCTTTTCGAAATAGCAAACAAGATAAGGTAAAAGTTGTAATGCAGAATACCATTTTGGTAGCTAAATAGTAACTTTTCATAGATATCTGTACATCAGACCAAAAAGAAGGGCAACTGAGGAGGAAAGAGGGCCATGGGGATTAGGTTCCAAATGAGAGACAGTTAGGTATTTTATCCTTTACTTATTTTAATAGCTTCTTGGCCTTTGTGAAGCTGTATGCAAAAGCCAAACTTGAAACGTCAGCTTCAATATAATATACTATGTGTAGATCAGAGGCATAAAATCTCAATTAAATTAATTTTAATACATATTGTTCAACTATAAAATGTGGAAGTAAATACTTTAGAGTTACAATCATGGCATATTCCTCACTTCTTGTCTACCCAAAGCCCTCAGAGTTCAATCTACGAGATTATAAGCACATTGTCTTAATGATTGGTAACTAGAGATGATTGCATGAGCACATAGACACTGAGAACGTTCCAAAAATCTACAAGAGAACAGTAGATAAAGTAGTCCCAGAAACCCATAAAGCTGTAATATCAATAAGGGCCCCTTCACAGCAGCAAGCTGTGCTGAACCCATGGCTGCTGGTGTGCACTGACAGATAACAGTGCTGATGCCCCAACTCCCAAATACTTTTTGTTGTTGTTAGAACTGTATTGAAGTGTCTTTATTTTGTTTAATGTTATTTCATCAAGTTATATCAATCACAGTGCGTTGCAGTTCTGCACTGAAACAAAATGCACCGCATGTAGTACTTTTCCCCAATGCACACCTCCGCAACACTGTGGTGTGAACTGAGACAGTTTAAAGCACGGCTAATTGCCTTGTCTGTGTGCTTTGGAGCTGCGCTGCAAAAGGAAGCCAGCGCAGCTCCAACGCATCTGGCGTGAACCTGCCCTAAAGATTCATCGGAATTTGGATGTCCTAGATGCACTAAAAATTAGCACATTGAGCATGCTGGTCATTTCTATTTATCCATTCAGAAATGATTCTGTAGACAATTATAGATAGTTACGTATATTGTAAATGTATCTGGATAGAAAATCACAGACTAGAACATTTCATCGAACCCACAGGTATGTATCATTACTGGTGATATCAGGATGTCATCTAAGGTGCCTAAGTTGTTTGTAAGGCTTGGATCTGAGACAATCAGAACATAGTTCATAACATCTCCCAGCTTCCCAATTATCTGTGTACCTCACTCTGAAGAATCATGACAGCATGGTTAAAATGATGGTGCTCCAAAGTGGCAGATGTTCCGTAGAGTTGAGACAACGCTGAGCCACTCCTGGACAAAAAAAAGAAGGAAAGGCAGCATGTCAGTATGGTGGGACCTGTCAATGTAACATTTGGCATGTCATTACCCTGTTGTGTTCATAAACCCACATGAGCAATATCACTGCCACACCGACTCAGTGCTTAGTGTCCTGCAGAGTCAAACATACTTGTGGAATTCAAACCAAATTTCACACAGGGCTGTTATATTATATCAAAATGTTTACCTAAAGAGAACCTGGTTTGAACTAAAATGTACCAAAGCTAATAGGCACCTTAAAGTTCATGGCAGTAGCTGTTTCTCTCCTAAAATCAAATTCTTTGTCCTTGTGGAACCCCTGTATCCTAGACCGAGGCTGTACACAGGTCCTAGAATTCTAGCCAAGTCAATACTACCACCCAAACCGTGCCCCGCCTGCCATTCAACTATCAAATATCAGAGCCTTTCCTGGCCCCTCTGATACTCAAAACTACAGAAATAAAATCATTATAACTCTAGTACTTTTTTTCTAATTTTATTTTTAGAGCTAACCATGACACAAACCACAAAACGTTTGTCACAAATATGGGAATATCATTATCATTTTTAGGCTTTTAGGATGCCCTACTGCTGTTAATTTGTCACATTTGGATTTGCTTCATTCCTTATTATCTTAACAAGAGACTATATACATTTTCTTAAAGTAGAAAATTTGAAAATAAAATTGCTTTGGGGTAGCATTTTTGGTAGAAAGGATTGTCTCTGCTGAAAAAATGACCTTCCCCTTTTTTTTTTGTACATTAAATGTTGCGCGTGTGAAGTGCAGTATACATCCCCTTCCCCAGCATCTGTTAATGTTTAGCCGAGTGTTGGGATAATGCAACTCCAGTGTGTATGGGCTGGAGGTACATCAGCAGCCACCCAGTGGCCAAAGAGAGTGGATACTGGTCTGGAAGAACAGAGCATGGCAATGGCAGCAACAGAATAGCAATGAGGGCCTGTCATCACTGTAGGAAGGAAGACATAGGCTGGCCAATCAGCTGCAGATACTGTTTATGTATTCTGACAGCAGTGGGCACCAGCTGTCATAATACAGTAGTCACAGTGGGACATTTGTCCAATTTATGACTATTATTACATTGTGAAACAAACACAAAAGGTCCCTGTATAAACTGTTGGCTTTCTAACAGGGTTATTCACAAAAGGGTGAAGAGTTTGGAGAAGGCAGAAGTGAACAATCTAGGACAAAATAGCTCACTTTCCAGTTCAGCTATGTTGTCCTAGATTGTTCACTTCTCTTGCCTTGTCCAAATTCTTCATCCTTTAGAGAATAACCCTGTATAATTTGGCTCCATTATGCCATGTGAGTCCCTCAGCACAGGGCACAGGCTGTATGTACAACTGTATTCAGGATATCCTGGACTCCACAGCTCAAAATGTAAACACTTCAGATGCTTGCTATTACTGTACAGTAAACTGGTGTTCACTTTAACTAACATAACTACAGGTAGCAGGACAGATCAGGCACAATGCATCCCCAGGGTCCTAAACCCAAGTCATAATATTCAGCTACCTCCCCACTCTGCCTGCCTCAATATTGGTCATTGCAAGAAAGGACCAATAGAGGCCACTGGAGGGAAAGGAACGGGGCATACTACAACTATAGAGACTGCTATTTGCACATTAGATCTTTCCAGAAGTAAATGCGTCCACCCTGGGGCATCCTTGGCATTTTCAGGATCCCTAGCATTTTTTGGTGGTGCATCCACCTGTTTACTGTGCATAGCTGTCTGCAGTTTAGGGATATGAACTGACTATAGAAACGAACATATTCACTTCAAGACTTTAAGAGCTGTAATTTATTAAATTACATGTCAGTGCATAACACATCTCCCAGAATAAAAATGACCATTAATGAAAGCATTTACACATATGCATATGAAATGAAATCATCCATTTTCTCTAGGGGTGAAATTAAAGAAGAAATACCTGATCCTCAGTGCCGCCTAACTGCTAGGCCAGTCCCACCAGCCTCTTTTCTCCTGGGCTCTGTTGGTCTTAGGACCTGTGACATCATCAAGTCTAATGCAAGTCTATTAGACGTGAAGACATCTGGGACATGCCAGAGCAGAGAGGGAGAGAGGTGAGCGCCTCACTGCCACAGGAACGAGGATCAAGTGCAAATGTCTGCTTTATTTTCGCGCATAGAGAAAGATGAGCAGTTAACCCTTGCAGTGCAGGGGTAGCACCACTGCAAGGGTTAATATTTGTAAAAACCGGAGTTCTTCTTTAATACAGAGTTGAAATAAACTGTAAACTGTTTTTCTGCAATAAGAGATTTCAAATTTTGTTCCACAGCAATTATGTAGAATTTTTTAAGCCTTATCGGCAATTCTTTTTAAGAATACTCTATAGTTTCCTTTAAAACTATATTCTGTTTTACTATTAGACCTGAGTTCTTCCTTAAGCTTGAATGCCTTAGATGTGAAATACTGGCTGGTATTGACTGCCTCCACCATGTAATAATGTTTAAAATTGCCCCTGTATACACAATGCTGGCTGCTAAAAAGGTTAATTGTGCTGGGATTGGTAAAAGTGTTCTGCAGAAGTGCACAATGGTGGGAAAGACCATTTATCATGTTCTGTTCCACTCTGAGTCTAATTCTGCTAGTGTGTGGCTGTGCAGTGCTGGCATCCTCAGCGCAGGGCTCTACAGCACGGCAGAGGTTAGGAGCGAGCCTGGCTCCAGCGCACGACCAGCTAGAAAATGGCAGGGAAGAAACGAAGGAATGTAATTATGAAATGGAGAATTGTTGTGAGGGGGTGGAGAATAGGATTGGACTGTCACAAAAGATTTATGGGCCTTGCGATTTCACTTCTGGATCTCAGCCTATGGTGACAAGATGGGTTTTCATTCCCCAGAAATGAGTGTAAGAGGTTACGCTAGGAAATGAATAGACTGAGCCTCCCTGGAGTGTTTCCTGCAAAGCTGCACAATCCCGATATTTGATCAGCCGGGCAGCTGTACGATGGCAGGGCGGCAGGAAGATGACACCAGTGGCAAGATCATCACGCTTCAGGTCCATCTAAAATTGTGAGAAATGTTTTCTCCGAAGTGGATTGATTTCTGTGGCGACAATTTCTAAGACTTTCAGAGACATTTTAAGAAAACCTTTTACATTTTCAATAATTTAACTACAAAGTCTTTTATTTGTTTTTTCAAAATAAACAATCAATTATACCATAACACATATATGTTTCATTTAAACATTTTGGTGTCCACCAGATCTGAAGCAGTCCTCCCAATATTTTAGTCTATTAATCTCCGAAACCATTTCAAACATATAATGTAATAAATCCACCCCAAAAAGGTAACCTCCTCCGAAATACTCTAATTAGAGGTCTACACCCATCGATAACTATGAAGATTCCAACTATTTATCGAGTTTCATAAGCGCTCCTACTCATTCATTTTATTAATACATATACTTGGTAATTAATTGTGACAAACTACAGTAATTTCCATACAACCTTCACCCAAGTTCTAACTATAAAACTTAACATATAAATATTATCTTATTCTAATATCTAAAATAATTCATTCCGTGTGGCCATAATTCATTGACTCTACGTGATAGCACCAACATCATTTTTCAGTGATCTCAGTAAAAAGGTGTTCTCATTTTATTACATCACCATTGAGATAGTGCCTACCCTTAACCTCAATGGCTTTCACATTTTCAATAATTTAATACATTTTTAAGGAAACATGGAGGCTGCCGTTGCTGAGCTCTCCTGAAAATGCAAGTTCTATCATGGTGACCCTCTAGGTTTACTATTTTGAGTCAATAACTAAGTAGCAAGCAGATATTTTTTATTTTAGGCAGAGAATGGAATTATCAAAAACCAACCATGTCAGGTGTTTTTGGCATCTCTGGGGAGATTTCCTTTTCACACCTCACTATTCCTGCATTTTCAGGCAGGCTATTTAGAATTTTTCCCAATGTAACCACTACAACGTATAATAGTGTATTACCACTAGTGCGCATTGTGCTCTGCAGTGCTTGAGCGTTGGAGTTGTGTTCCCACAATGCACTAACACACATAACTTGTGTTGCAGTAACATGCGCAATACTACATTGCAACACAGCAAACAAGTTTGTTTTGGCCCTGAATCTTTTTAGTTTGCTTCTCTTTACTATCTCTCCTCTCTGCCTCTGTCTAGCTTCCCTCTTTCTCTGTCTCTGATTGTGCTGGTCTTCATTGTCTGCATTCCCCATTGTCCTTTCCTCTTGGATATTGCTCCATTGTCTTAGAGTTTTCCTACTTAAAAGGCTTCCTACTATTGTTTTGCTGTGTTTTTCCTGTCTATGTGTGTTCCTTCAATCTGTTCCATTCTTTTAGGACAGACTAGACTGGTAGTTTGTGGAAATAAAAATGTATCATGGACAGTACTCAACTAAATAACCAAGAGTTGATTTTTAAGGACAAGCTTTTGGGGGTCTCCTCCCTTCTTCCAGACTAGTACGGACAGTACTGAGCTGCAATGTTACGTGTGCACTACGGTTACAGTCACCTTAAGCATGGTGGTGATTTACAAACAGATGAGGAGGAATTTTGCGTTTACAAATTCTGCACTTCATTCTGATGTAGCAACTATTCTAAAAACTCCCTTTGAATAATGTAGGGTCTAATTTGACAGTCTGTTTGGGTTGCAATGACATTTTGCTCTGGTATCAGTATTGGACTTCGGACCAATTTTTTAAAAATTTTGAACAAAAAATTAGTAGGGGGGTAGGGAATGGTTAAACCTATTATCATGTTTTCATTTCTCTCTACAAAGAGGATATTTGCCTTTTCTCACTGACACACCTGTAAGGCCGGGTAAAAAATAAGAAACTTGTGGGTCATTAGTGCAAAAAAGCACATATAGCATATAAAAAAAGTTCTCACCTTTCCCCACTCTACTAAAATATATTTTTGTTTCTGTCTCTATCCCCATTGGAGACAGCTTGTCACAGTCCGTGGTGTCCCTAGACTTTTTGCCAAATGAGGCGGGGAGGGGGGTGCACAACAGTGACGCTGCCCTCTGCAGACCTGGGACACACTGGCTAGCATCCCGCCTAGCTCCTGGCAACCAGTGACATCAGCCTTCAGGGAAGGACTTGCATATTTCAGCAGGACAATGCTAAACCACATACTGCATCTATGACAACAGCAGGGCTTCATTGCAGAAGAGTCCGGGTGATCAAATGGCCTGTCTGCAGTACAGACCTTCCACCATTTGAAAATATTTGGCACATCTTGAAATGACAAATACAAAAATAAGACTTTTGAGCAGTTATAATCCTAAATCAGGCAAGAATGGGCCAACATTCCTCTCTTAAAACTCCAGCAACTGGTTTCCTCAGTTCCCAGATGTTTACAGACTGTTGGTAAAAGAAGAGGGGATACTACACCCTGGTAAACATGGGCCTGTCCCAACTTGTGAGAAGTGTTGCTGCCATCAATTTTAAAATCACCTTATTATTATTTTTTTTTTAAATGGTAAATTTTCTCAGTTTAAACATTTGATATTTTTTTATCTTCTATTGTGAATAAAATATGGGTTTGAGATTTGCAAATGATTGTATTCTGTTTTTATTAAGCTTTTACACAGTGTCCCACTTTTTTGGAATTGGGGTTGTATATACTGTAATGTATAAGTATTTTTAACATGATCATAATGCAAGACCTTCCCTAAATGTAAGAGGCCTGCAATAAGAGAAAATTACATCTGACAGCATGAAATGACAGTAATCCTACAATTAAACTAAGCTTTTGGATCATTTCCCATAATGTGTCAGTATAGCAATATTTGGTCATGTTCATGGGACATAAAAATGAGCATACCATTTCCTGAGAAGGAAACCGAGGTTAGATCATGAATTTCCATATACAATATACTGCAACTGTGCATTAACTTACTTGGCTTGGAAGGCATTGTTGGTTCCTCTGTGGTCAAGGTCGTGACACAGGCAACCTACGATCACAGCCAAAATCTCAGTATCGGTCAGAATCTCCTGGAATCCTGCAGTCTAGGGTTTGAAAAAATACCTATTTAATGTATTAAATAATAACAAAAGCAATCTACTGGTAACGTAAAGCATGCACAACTATTAGACTATTTTATTTGCTGTATTCTCAAATAATGCAAATATCCCACAGGAGAAAAAAGTCCCCTCATAACAGATACTGAGGGTGATCTATCTCGAATACCAGTTAGAGATCTTTCCATCAGAATTCCTGAGGCTTATAGGAAGATGCTAGATAATTTGAACAACAGAATGTACCTAAATACTCAAAACATGAGAAAATAACGCATAAAAATGTCATTTCTTGATTTTAAATATGATCAACCTGCTACTAAAAAGCCAAAAAGAGAAGCCACACAGCTCATCGGAATGGCTTGTGTAGCTGAAGCAGTAATAAGAATGAGTTATAATTCACCAGTGAAAGATCTTAAAGTGAGTTATGAAGGTCATTCACTTTCTGAGAAATGAATTGTGTGATATGGTGATAACCTACTTTTATGCATTGTGCCATAGGTAAAGCAAGGCTTTAATTATCCCTTTTTACTTCTTCAAATTTAAATACATAAAAAAGAGGAACGAAAATGAACAAAGACATTTTAAAATGTACTGACATTATATAACAAAATATTTTCTTTCTATGAAATGAATGCTAATGCAAATGAGTATAATGTGTATAGCTGCAGAACATACTGTACAGCAAGATAAATGCTGCAAACAATTGTACCTCTTTTTTGTTATTTTACATTTTAATCGCTGTATTTTAAAACAATATTCCAGTATTTCCTTGCAATATTGTGCAGAATTGTAAATAGGTTTGTAAAGATTTTAGCTTTGTACTTGAAACATCTGCTGAACAAGATGGAGACATAGCACAACCACTGAGTAAGTATTGTTATGGTATTTGCTGCTTTCATTAAAACTGTTTTTTTTTAAATGCAAGCAGTCTAAGTACCCAATTCTGACTTGGTTTCATTCTCTTGCAGTCCCTGTACAGCAAAGCTTAGACTGGGGAGAAGCAGCACAAGAAGCAAATTAATTGTGCTGCAGTAGAAGGAGCACGCTGCTAGGAAGAGAGAGCAGAGTGACAGCTTTTGAATCATTTGCTTCTCCTTTTACTGTCTAAGCACAAGACAGGGGAAGGGACCAGACCTGTCAGTGTTACTGAACTGCAGCAGATAAAAATCAGGTCTCTTCCCCTGCCAGACAGGGCTGTGATGTGTGACAGAGCCATGTACATATCAGGACGAGATGGACAGGAATACAGATACCATGTATTTCATCTCTTTATTCAGGTGTGTCCCCGGAGTTTAGCCTTAAAAGCACAGAAATGTTAATACAGTGTCAGCACTACACATGGGCAGGAAGTGTTTAGGTGCCATGTATATACGCAGTTTATTCCAGCACAGTATGTCTTGCATCTATCACAGAAGTGGGTGGCAGACATCAGTGATGCTTTACTGCCTGTTAATGCAATTATCGGCTTGACATATAGCAAGTGTGCCAAAGTCGTACATTTGAACATCTTCTAATACTTCAGTATCTACAATGATCCTCGGGCGCTTGTCAGTGGCTTGTCACTCACTTCCGTATGTATATGGCTCAGCGGTGCTGCTCCTCAGATAGATTGGAAAACTCTCACTAGTATCAGAAACAGAACACAAAAGAGACCCCACCATGTGCGGTATCAACACGTTTATTTGATGAAAAACAATGATAAAAAACTACTCACAATTGTAGCAGTATATATGCTTTGTTCAGTCTCCACACATGATGATTATATAAGAACAATATACTGCTACAATTGTTAGTAGTGTTTAATATTGCTTTTTATCAAATAAACGCGTTGATACCGCACATGGTGAGGCGCTCTTCTGTGTTCTGTTTCTGATCTTCTAATACTTATTTAGATATGTGTGCTTATAGCAAACCTATGTATTGCTACAACCTGTACGAGCTATGACTCTGGTGACTTGTAGAGTATATAGAACTTCCCTTCACTCCTGGCTGCTATACAGAGTGGTGGGGAGTGAAAGGAAGGTAGTAAATGCATCTGCGGAAGTCTGTATTTAAGTGAAACTGTTGCTTTAAACCCTATCCAGTCAGTGGTGTACCCAGGCTTTTTGCCACATGAGGAGGGGCGGGAGTGGGGGGCATTCTGGGCGGCTGGGAAAGAGTGTGGGGGGACACTCTGGCCGGCATCCCGCCCAGCTCCTGACAACCAGTGATGTCACTGATTGCCAGGTGCTGGGTGGGACGCTGTCCAAAGCATCCCAGGTTGCCTAGACCATCCCACATCTCCCCTCCCAGCTCTTAGCAACCTGGGACCCTCTGGCCGGAAAGGGGATGCCAGACGCACTGCAAACATTGTGCAGCAGAGCGGCCATGCCCGCCGCCCCTCACTTGACCCGAACAGATGCTGCTAAGGGAACAGCCTCAGGCTGCCTTAATATGTACCCAATATTTGACCAGTTTGTGAACCATCTATGTTTAATAATAAGGGCATTTACAAAGGCTTACTGGCTGCACAGTTCAATATTGAACAGCAAGATGGAAGAAATCATTAGCATTCTTTGTTAATTTCTTGGTGACTGGTTAATATGTCAGGATACAGCATCAGAGATAGAGTTGGTATTGCAATGAGAGTTTATTTTTTTGCTTTATGAAGTGACTGGAGTTGGGCTTTAAGGGTCACTCCCTTCCTGTATAGATCGTTTGGTTACTGATCAATCTAGTTGGTTGAATCACCTATATGCACTCAAAGCTTTCTGAGTGGTAAGACATCTCCCAACTTTTTAGGCTGGAAAAGAAATTCCCATGTCACTCTCACAGAACTTTGTTACACCTTTTTAAATAGTTTGAACAGAATGGCCACAAATACTTCACATACAAAAGATACTATTTTTACTGGAACAGTAAACAGAATTACTACAAAAAAAGCTCAATCCACTTGTGGTGGTGATTGTTAACAAATTTAAATCATCAATCATCTACTGTTGTGGGCCACAGCCATAAGATTTAGTGCCTTACCTGCCTTCTCAAAATCAGCCACAAGATGGTGCTATAGAGAAACCATTGTAGCCACAAGATGGTGCTACAACAGAGCACACTGTTCTATGGTAAGTTCTCAGCAACCTCAGCACATGAAGAAAGGAACAAGTGTAATCTGAGAACCCAACCTCCATTTTGGAATCAAGGAGTAGAGAATATAATGCCATCCTGAGCGCATGTCTGGAATTACCACCCATATTCAAATAACATTGTCGATTTACACCACGGACCCTTTACCATTCTTTCCCTTCCACCCGTACCCTTACATTGTACAGCCCCCTTCTGGTTTGCAGTGGTTCTCTCTCCATTTTTTCTTCACTTACACCAGATTCACTAGTAGGGACAAACTTGTTTCTCTTTATATTTGTGAGCTCTTTATATACATGTTCATATATTGATTATATGTTTTCATCTTCTTTTTCACCCTGTTTTAATAAAGCTTCAAGATTTCATTCAGTCTGGCTTATTGCAGAATAGGAGGGTTTAGCTGCATGTCGAGCAATGCACAGGCCACAGGATAATAAACTGCAATACTAAATTAGTTGTTGATTTGATTTCTTCCCCAAGCTGTAAAGTACAGTATCTGAGTTACCTATAAGAAAAGGATTGCTGGACATCTACAGGATGCTATCAACCCAGAGGCAAAACACTTTTTACATGTTCATGCAAGGGATACTTCTAAATTTACTTAAGGAAAAGAGAGAATATATTCAAACATCAGAGGTGGTGATTAAGGAAAAAGTTACCTAAACTTGAATGCATTTTGGGTCATGCATTTCGGAGTACGCGGTCCAGTTCTGGTCACCAGTACTAAGAAAAGATGTCCTTGAGTTGGAAAAAGTCCAGCGGAGGGCAACCAAACTAATTAGGGGTATGGAGGACCAGAGCTACGAGACAAGGCTACTAAATTTAAACATGTTCACATTAGAGGTGAGGAGATTAAGGGGGGATATGATTTCCATGTACAAAATGTTTAATGGTGGTAGCAACATTAGCGATAAACTGTTTAAAATTAACTCCGTTACAAAAACTAGAGGCCATCACCTAAAATTGGTGGAAAAAAAATTCCAGCACAAGGGGCGAAGGGGGTTCTTCACAGTAAGATCAGTTAGGGTCTGGAACTCACTGCCACAGGCGGTGATTTCAGCAAATAATGTGGAATTGTTCAAGAAACTTTTGGACGATTTCTTAAGGGACCGTAATATACAGGGCTACAGGTAATATACAGGGGTACAGGTACTCCTAGAATGAGATCCTAATAGGTTGGACTTGATGGACTAATGTCTTTATTCAACCTCAAATACTATGTAACTATGTACTATGTTTTCGGATACCCAATCCCAGAAGGGGCTCAATTTTACATGTAAGTTGGCTGATGACTTAAGCACTTATGGATGTCTGCATATTAAAGAATGCCATCTATTTGTATTGTGGACATTAACCCCTTTATTATCCAGTTTTATCTAGCTATACTGTGGCTTTACATATGCTTTTGATGTTATATGTTTCTTGTATGTGCTTTTTAAGGTGATGTATTTTGCTTTTGTGTATTGCTTAAGAAAGGACTGTCTTAGTCCAAACAGTGTAGCATTAAGTAGGGTATACATGATATTAATTTCAGCTGGTTCCTGATGAACTGGACGCAATTCACGCAGTAGGTTCCACTGTTGGTACCCTTCTGCCCAGCATCCCTAGATCGGTAGTTCGAAAAAGCAGGGGGGGAAATCTTTGGCCAAATTTGGCCATTCAGGTATTCCAGCAGCAGCCGGCCACCGCTGTCAGAAAACAATGAAAATAGTGTAGGATTCGTCAGAACAGCGTTGATGGGGGAATCTGTTCCATTTTTTTTCACTCAGCCCGTGGGTTACAAAAAAAAAATAAAAAATAGGACCATAAATACCTGGCTTTACTGTGTTTTTTTTAGTTTCTCCAATGAAATATGGATTTTAACATAG